GTGTGTGTGTGTGTGTGTGTGTGTGTGTGAGTGTGTGTGTGTGTGTGCGTGCGTGTGTGTGTGAGGGGTGGAGGGAGCCGTACACGGTACATCATCTGTAAGCCTCAATATTGGCAGGTGCGCTGACGCTGTCGCTTCATCCATCGATACTTCCCGATCAAAGATAGCGAGATTTTGTTTCCTTTCATATTCAAATAAGATATAGGAGAAAAAACTGCCGTACTGTTGTATGCGTGCGCCGCAGTGACAGGTCCTTATATTGCTCGGCTACAATGCCGTGGCTGACTATACGCGCACATAAAGAGTAGACGATACTTCGGATTCAAAATGGAGCAATCTCACTTCTAAAAGCCGTGTTCTCCATGGGTCCGCCATGAATAAATCCTTCCCCCCCCCACCACCACGCTCACTGGCGTCGAACGTCGACCGAACTAATTCGCCATCGGTAAACAGACCGCACTACTTTCCATTGTCCGGCGCGTATCCGTGCGCCCGCGCCGCGCTTACGTTTCATTTCGCAGAGATAAATGTCGATGAAATTATATATAGGAGGCATACAACAGTAAGCCTCTTCAAATTGTTTACCGTTGCACTATTTCATTTCTAGAAAAGGCCTTTTTGGCATTTTTTTCGCAAAAGTTCGGCACTAATTCGACAATAATTTGCATTATGCACGCAAGTTAGATGCATCGTGGACGTCTAGAAAGCATTAGAAGTAAAATTGGTCTTGTCGTGTTGTTGTGTCATTCCGTCAGGTGGCGTAGCCACAGCGACCGGTTGGTCATTTTTTGTGTTTGAAATGTGTTCAGACAACTTTGCAGAAATTCGCATCATAGAGCTAGCAAAAGTTTCGAGCGGAGCATAGAGCATGAATCTGTAGTCATGAATAAAGTGTATGTTGTGTAAGCGCAGTAACAGTGTGAGTATTTTTAATTAATTTCTGTTCGATGCTTATTCAGGCCTGCTGCCTATGAACGCCCTTTACTGTTGTTCACCACCTATATGTTCAGAGAATGACACAGAATGGCGGTAGGTGTCGTTGGCACGGGCTGCCTCATAGTGCCTATATATATAGTCTTTTGATATATATATATTGTGATACACAGTCGCGCTTGTTTTGCACACTAGGCCTACTCAACGAAGAGATATCTGTCCCTTCAGAGTTTTGGATAGCTTGCTAATTGGATAAGAGCATCTTTGGTAAGTGCTTTGCGGCACGCGCACTTGGTAATTGCCCACGAGACCTCCCTCCCGCGCGCAAATACTCTCTCAAATATTAGACGTAAGATCTTCGGAAGATGATATATCGCGCAGACTCGCCGAGGGATGTAGACACGAGCGCGCGCGACGACTGGGTGTCTCTAATAACCGGAATGGACGTCGTTGCGAGCCGAGCACGATCGGCACACAACAGCAAACATTCGCGGCTGCATGCACGAGAATATACCACGCAATCACATCTATCTATCTATCTTTCAATCAACCTATTGATTCTATCTATCTAAATCTCTCTCTCTCTCTCTCTGCCTCTCGCGCTCTCTCTCTCTCTCTCTCTCTCGTCTCCCTCGTCTCTCTATAATATATATATATATATAATTATATATATATACCGACAGAACAGAGAGCGTATCCAACCTATATCCACATCCGGTATATTATGTAATAGCAATAAACGATAACTGCGAAAATGGCTTAATATATTCAGTCGCCTACGTATAGATAGACATACAGGAGAACGATGTACGTACGTAGACACGTACTCTCGTTACTCGATTACATACGCCATGCTGGATTTCACGAATACACACGACGCTATATTTGCCTTCTCCAAGCCTAATGAGCTCCGTGTTTCGTGCCTATAATTGCTCGCGCGTGATGCGTGCGTGCGTGCGTGCGCCGAAAAAACCGTCACAGTCGAGAGAAGACGAGGAAAATATATCAGAACTGGTTGTTTATTTGGTAGCCAGAGGCGTATAATACAGGCATTGGAATAAACAAACAAAACAGAGTGTAACAACAACCGCACGTAGTTCAACGTTACGGTACTCAACTATAGAGAAGTCACAGCCGGAGTAACTATATATCTCATACACATCGCGCACTACAGCGGGCCATGTAACACGTCACAACCTGGCGGCAGGCGTAGGAACTAACACGTGAAATCCCGCGCGCGGCCTCGCAGCAAGCATGTCCGCCCGGTCGTTAATGCGCACGCGCCAAAGTAGTTTCGATAAAAATAAAACAAAAGGGGCAATGAAACGTGATGGCTTCTAGATTGACTTGTGCGGTATTCATGTGTAAATATCTACTTTGGGGAAACACACGCCCGTGTGTTATTTTTCGCCATGTTCTACAGCCGCAGATCGGATCCCGATGCTGCTGCTGCTGCCTTATTGCACGTTGCCATGAACGCGCCGGTGCGCACGCGCTGTCGAGTGCCACCAATAAATCCGCTAGATGGCGGTTTCGCTCTACGCAAAGCCGCCACTTGCTTTTTCCT